TGTAGGCATGTACAGATGTATCCATAGTATACATTATGTAGGACCATAGGTAGGTATCCATGGAGATATCTAGGGTAGGTCCTAGGTCGGACAATATGCTCCCCTAGGGCTATTGTTACCTTCCTGAATTGTGCCCCAAACAGGCTATCTTTCAGGGAAAGTCCAAGGTGGTGGTCGTAGGTTGGTCCGATCTCGTTGACCCTCTTATCTCGTCTCAATTCTTCGTACAGTCCTAGTCCTACACATAACCTTACCTACCTACCTACCTACCTACCTACCTACTACTTACCTACCTACCTAGGTAGTATACATACCTATCCAGCTAACGGCGATGCCAGGCTACGAGTGGTGCAATTGTCCACAAATGGCGGAAGTGCGGGGAATGGATCAATATGCCAAGCTTGTACGAATAGACGAATGGACGAATAGACGAGCTGCTATGTGAATATAAACCTGGGTATACCCAGGACCCAGGACCCAGGTTGACCGCCTCGAGGTGTGAAATTGCTGAGAACTCCTCCTCGACAGTGCATGATTCCAGCTTCGTTGGAGATGTTATCGGCCGGGTCTCATACTATCTCACAGTTTTTTCTGTTTCTTGTTTCTTTATCGATCCAAGCCGGTCGAGCTCAATTCCCCCCCACACCAGAAGGTGTCACCGTTCTGGAATCGAGATTTGGAAATGGGGTCACGATCAGCTACAAAGAAGTAAGGAACAATACGAAACGATACGGAACGATAGTAATTCTAGGTGCCTAACATTTTCTAAGCCGGGTATATGTGAGACAACACCAGGCGTTAAATCTTACGCTGGATACGTCCATCTCCCGCCCAAGTCACTCGAGGACCTGGGCGAAGAACAGGACTACCCTATAAATACCTTCTTCTGGTTCTTCGAAGCCCGGAACGATCCCGAGAATGCGCCGTTGTCTATCTGGCTCAATGGCGGCCCTGGGAGTAGCTCTTTGTATGGGCTCTTCACCGAGAATGGCCCCTGTTATGTCAATTCTGACTCCAATTCAACTACATTGAGTCCATGGGCATGGAACACAGACGGTAAGTCAACCGAACAAGCTTTCGAGGGGCCGTCTAAGCCATTGGAGATGCAAATGACTCCTCGCTAACATTGGAGCAAGTCAATATGCTGTTTCTTGATCAGCCGGCTCAAGTAGGCTTCTCGTATGACACGTTGCAAAATATCACAGCGGATCTTATATCTGGCGAGGTCGTTAAGCTCGACGAGTCTAGTCCTATCCCCGAGCAAAACACAACCCTACTAGTCGGCACATATCCAAGTCAAAATAGCAGCCAGACAGCGAGAGGCACTCGCAATGCCGCCATTGCCTTGTGGCACTTTGCACAAGCTTGGTTTCAGGAGTTTCCCGGATATCATCCCAACGATTCTAGGATTAGTCTAGCTACGGAATCGTACGGTGGTAGGTACGGGCCAGAGTTCACTGCCTTCTTCGAAGAGCAAAACCAGAAGATCAAGAATGGGACCTGGAACGGCACCGCGGACGGAGAGAATTATGTCCTCAACCTTGACACTCTTATCCTCATCAACTCCTGCATCGACCGCCAAGTCCAATGGCCCGCTTACCCGCACATAGCCTACAACAACACGTATGGCTTGGAAACCGTCAACGAAACCATCTATTTGCAGATGGTAGACGCCCTCGAGAGGCCTGCCGGGTGTCGTGATCAGATCAATGATTGCCGCGCCCTCGCGCTCATATACGACCCCGACAACGTTGGCATCAACGATACCGTAAACAAAGTATGTTCAGACGCGGAGACATTCTGCTCTACTAACGTGAGGGGGCCATATCTGGAGTATTCGGGTCGTAATTATTACGATTACGCATCCCTCGATCCCAACCCCTTTCCAGCCCCATTCTTTGGACTCTACCTCAACCAACCTCACGTCCAGAAAGCTATCGGCGTGCCTTTAAACTACACCCAGTCTTCAAGTGCCGTGGCGTCTGCTTTTAGGGCTATAGGAGACTATCCCCGGCCAGGGTGGATTGAAGACCTAACTTTTCTGCTTGAAAACGGAATCAAGGTCCACCTCATGTACGGCGACCGAGATTACGCGTGCAACTGGATTGGTGGTGAGGCTGTGAGCTTGGCCGTCAACTACACCGGCACTGAAAAGTTCCACGCTGCGGGGTACACTGACATCGTGGTGAACGATACGTACGTCGGGGGGCAGGTCCGTCAGTATGGAAACTTTTCGTTCTCTCGTGTGTACGAGGCCGGGCACGAAGTCCCCGCGTACCAACCAGAGACGGCGTATAAGATGTTCCACCGCGCCCTATTTAACAAGGATATCGCAACTGGTACCGTTGATCTTCTCGATCATCCCGAATACGCGACAGAGGGGCCAGTCGACACGTGGGCGATCAAGAACGAAGACCCGCCGGATCTCTTGCATTTCTGTTACGTGTACGATACTTCCACTTGCACCGAGGGACAGATAGAGAGCATACTCGACGGCACGGCTATCATAATTAGCGGTATTGTCAAAGATAAGAACTCTACTCTTCTCTTCCCAGAGATATTTGGTCGCGACGACACAGCTAGCGGTTCCCAAAGCAATCCTTCGCCTACTGCTGACAGCGAGGGCGCCTCGGCCACAGGTGATGTTGCTGCAACCAGGATAGGCTGGATTGACATACGGATCCTAGGAACGTGGGTTTTGGTATTGATCCTGATACACTTCTAATCACCCTACTATAGAGGTCGCTATAATAGATGGCATATAACTCAAACTATTTTTAAGCTTGACCTTGTATATCGAATGTGTTTTTTTTCCTGAGGCAGGCTAAGAAGGAAACCATGAAGATCAACTTGTCTAGGTGCCCTTAGTTAGATATTGCATTAATAGGCCCTTTCTCCTTTGAAGTCACCCACTTCGTATTAGCTAATGGCTGTCCCAATATTACATACCTAGTGTGAATGGATATCTGGAGCAAGTAGTTGAAACAAATTCATGTCCTCGTAGATTGATGGTGCTTCGAAAGTCAATATACGCTGAGTAATTCTCTTAATAATCCGCATCCCGTGTTTCGTATTTTGTCCCTAGGTATATATCTACCTCCTCCATGGCCTTATATTTTGGTACGCCCGTGCCAGGGACAGAAGTAACCCGGCCTTTTCCTCCCCTTAACGGTGTACTCAGCGAGGAATCACGAGCGAGTGATAGATAGTATCTTTATAGGCATAGCTGCCGCATAGAAGAGTGATCTCTGCTGTCGGATCGACTTTGGCTCGAATTCGATGTCTTCAATGGTAAAGTGACGAGAAGCTGGGAGAGGTTAGAATGTTTATTTGAACATCAATGGAGAGTGAAATGTATACCGCACTCATTTTTGAACATTTGGAATGTTTCAGCGTTCCGGACGACACCTGAGATGAGAGCCCTAAGCTCCGGTCTCATATGGAAGAGTCTACGAAGTGTCGATACAAGATCCGATATGGCTACCTGGTCGTATATCTACAAAGTTATGTAGATTAGGGGTTGAGTTCTCTCTTCCGGATTTATGAAAGCAAAGGAGCTTACAATATCAGCGCCAATAACAATATCGTACGGGTGAATAAGACATTCGTCTTCTGCCCAAGTCCCTTCTAGGTCAGCACCCCAGGCTAAGGTACCAGTTCTAGTATTACGCTGGGTACGTGGCCCGTTCAAGGCAATGTTCTCGTTCAGTGCTTCAACGACTTTCCCATCACCATCAGTGGCGGTAACGTAGTTTGCTTGCAAGTGCTTGGTTAGGAGAATGGTAAGGAAGCCGGTGCCAGCGCCTAGCTCCAGCACGTTCTTGTTCCGGACGAGATCTGAGCCGGTAGCAGTCATAAGGTAAGAGCCTAGGTGGAGAGATGCCTCCCAAGTCTTAAACCCCGTAATCCGTGAGCCCGATATCAAGTGTCGCCGCTCGAGGAGAGTTATGGTACGCTCCGATGCATCATTATCATATCCATTTGTGAGGTCGAGCTTTTCTGGCGCGCAGGTAAACGTTACATACACATTTTCTTCGGGGGTTTCCAGGTTGGATAGTACTTTATTTGCCAATAAGCGATGCAAGGTGCGTCTCTAGACTGCACGAAACGCACGAGATCTCGTAGGAAGCTTTAGGTCAATATTCTACACACACAAGAGAGAGAGAGAGAGAGAGAGAGAAGGCGAGGAGAGGGCTCACAAGGTCACCTGCAGCTTTCTTGATCTTATAGAGAAGCAGCTTTAAGACAATTAATTGATAACTATCAGAGGGTAAGTAGGGGTTTAAACTTGGGTCGAATAAGCGTCTATGCAACCATTTCTGCACGTCTGCGCTCTTCAGGAGATCGGGCGATGGCCAAGCTAGAAAGTCTGGTTCAAACAGCTGCATATATTGCTGGCGCAGAATGAGTAGTCGAGGGTCTACGTCGTGATCCGACATCTCTAACTCTCGGACTGATATTTTCTTTGTAGCGGCACGGCATTTGATCACCACTTACCACTTGGTCGCGGTGGACGCGGTGGACGCGGTGGACGTAAAAACAAGAACAAAAATAACTGTTCGTAGCTTTGATTTTTTTTTCATATATATATATATATAGAAAAGAGAAAAGCAACCCCCCCCCCAAGAAAAAACAGAAGCCAAAAGAATACATAGGTACATAAGACTTACCTAAGTCTTAAGATAAGATTCAGTAGGTACTTCCTATAATTACATATTATTGTCTAGATACATGATTTTAATTTGTTAAGAGCACCACCCAAGGAACTTCAAATGTAGAGGCTTCGTTGTAGATAAAATGAAACTGGATGACGGCATGTCATTATAGGCAAGGCATGGATGACCTAGGACCCTAGGTATAAGTCACACAATCTTGATCGATATCCATGGGATATGTAGGATATGTAGGGAGTTAAGAAGACAGAGATTTTATAACGGTTGCTCAGCTCCACTGCGCCAGGGACAATTAGCGCCTACGATTATGTAGGTACTGACTCAAATTCTCGATTCGTCTAGTGGTTAGGATACCTGCTTGTCAATACCCTTCAAGGGTTGAATTCGCAGGTGGCCGGGGTTCAATTCCCCGATCGAGAGAATCGTATAATTCATTTTTTTGTACCTAGCACTGTCTCTTCCCGTGGCCCTCCCTTTTTTATATACCCCTTTTTCAACAGTAGGGAAAATAAAAATAGAGAAAATGATAAAAACTTATCCTCTCTTCCAATACCTATAGGCATAAATAGATGTAAGGAACTAGTTACTAGGTATGTCAGTAAGTAGAAGGAATGATATTATAATCGTACATAATTTTAATTAAGAAGGCAACTCAATATAGTGTATCAGCAGCCGTTGGTAGTTTTATGAATTTAGTAGCGAAGGGGCTCACGACATTACCGCTGAGACTGTTGGTCGGCACCAATGTTCCATCCGAACGTGGGATTGGAGTATTATTTGAAGTAATATGTCACATCTAATCATCCAATAGCTAATTCGTACCTAGTAGTCCTCGGAATGCGTTACATTCCACTCCAACAAGTTCACGCTTCTTCAGCCTGTATGTAGTGTCACCGTCCATGACACCGGCAATGGCTACCATCGACACCATCGACGGCCGTCTACAAAATCTTTTCGGAGCTACGTACTCCGAACGCGCCGAGAGGGTCATATGTTTCTGGAAACTAAATAGGAAGCCAACTCAGTATGTTGTCAATCATTGCAATACAAGGTCGGTTGTATTGCCTCGCTCGTTGCTTCGTATCGTAACTGCTACATAAGAAGAAGAAAAAAAGGAAAAAAGAAAAAAGAAAAAAAAGGGAAAAAAAAGGCCGTCATAAAAGCGTCTGCTACTTTACGAAACAGTCATGGCTCCAGCAATCCGGCCACCAGGTATCTCGGCTCTTATCATCACTATAATTGCTGCGTCAGCACCAGTTTTTTATCATCTCGTATCCTTACATCTCACATCCTTATCCTCATATCTCATATCCTATTCCTCGTCGACCTCGGAGACTTTCGGTCAAGACATCGAGCACGCGTCGTCATCGTTGCCGACGTCGCCGTCCTTTAGCTGCCTTCAACACGCGTATACAACCGAAATCATATCGCTCGACCCGCTTCTCATATATATCGACTCATTTCTCGCGGCCGCCGAAGTGGATGCTCTGTTAGAAGCCGGAGAGCTTCGGTTCGCCCCGTCTCGAGTGTACAAGCAAGGTCGCAACCAAGGCACCTCCGATCGCACATCCTCGTCGGCCGGCCTACCGCGTGACAACCCGGCCGTACAATGTGTGCTGGAGCGAGCCGAGGCCTTTCTCGGCACGATGCTCGATCGCTCCCGGGACGACATCGGCCCGCCGCAGCTCGTGCGTTATACGGCCGGCCAACGCTTTAATAGGCACCGCGACTGGTACGAGCGCCCGCAACCTGCACGGGAAGGGTTGCTGGGGCGCGGTAAGAGCTGGAATCGTATTGCTAGCTTCTTCGCCATCCTGCAAGACCAGTGTACGGGCGGAGAGACGTGGTTCCCGCTCGTCAACACTACCGTCCCTTCGAGAGATGACCAGAAGGGGCGTCAACTCTGGAAAACGCATGAAGATGGCGGTGTGGCGTTTAGACCCATTGCCGGCAACGCGCTTTTCGTATGGAATCCCTTCATTATTTTCCTTTTTTTCCTTTTTTTTTCTTTTATTTCCTTTCTCTCTCTCTCTCTCTCTCCTCAAACTTCCTGACACGAAAAGGGGTTGAGATTACTCAGACTTTTGTACAAAGAAGTGCCTGCTAACGACTGCTAACCCCTTGGCACCATAGTGGGTTAATCTATTCGCGAACGGCACGGGTGATGATCGAACTGTCCACGCTGGTTCGCCGGTGAGAGAAGGCTTGAAGACAGCTATGAATATCTGGCCGCGTAAATTCTATGGCTAACAAACATTCGGGTTTGCATGAATATGACAGTTCGGAGTTACTGATGTTGATCGTTTTGGAGTTCAATAAAATGAATTTGGTGTTGCTATGATAACAATCGGCCTCCAGGAAATCGCTAGGCGCATGATGCCTAAAAGGAAGGTTAAAGAGGTTAAAGGTGTCTCTTGTCATGGTGCAAAATGTACCTCGTTTCGTCTATGCACAACAGACCGGGTCTACGGATGGATTATACGCATTTCTGGCTCGGCCGACATCACGTATGAACCTGCATACTGCATACTGCATAGACCTCGAGCCATACTATCTAAGCTTGGACCATGATATGGACATCTGTGACGGTTGCTCGCGCCATCTTTTTTAAAAGCGTTCTTTCATCGGCCTCGCGATATCTCTCCCACCCGTCAAGTCCTTCCTTAGCTTGAATACTCAATGTCTCGTAGCCCTGTTTTATCACTTCCGCTACCTCGGTGCTGGTCAGGTTTCTTTTGGAGCCACCAGACTCCAGCATAGTCTTGTAATGCGCGCTCACGCTAACAAGAGTTCCTATCGAATTTGATGGCCGACTTGAGAGGGCATATGTGTCGCGGAACTTCGTTAAGACCTCGCCGCTTTCTACCACTTTGTAAAACAAGTCATCGTAAGCGGCCGGGGTGGGAAGAAATGCCTCGCCGGCGGAGAGAGAAAGGGCTAGAAGGTTCACGACAAGATCGAGGAGGGAATCGAAATGGGAGAGGCCCTTTAGATCGGCGGCATATGTTGTGAGGAAGCGGATCAGAGACAGGAGCGAGCGGAATAACTCAGACCAGTGATATTGCAAGCGGGTCCGGGACCGCGATAGGTATGAAATGATACGTAGCATGATACCGACACATAAGGTATACAAGCTGACATCCAGCCTACGTCGCAGGTTATGATTGATACCGTCAATCATAGTATCCAACACGGTGGTTGCCAAGATGCGATCCCCTCGCACGGCCGGGAGGAAAGGCTGCCGCTGACGACAGAGCCTGACGGCGACCTTGCTCTCTTCGCTACATATCCGCTTACATAGAAGCTGGTCTTCGATGAGGAGTCGAAAGACCATCAGGCTGAGGTGGGCATAGTTAGTAGCTCGGGTAGAGAGGAAGGAATGCTGGAGGAGGTACGAGGTCAATGATAAGAAACTGGAGATGGGCTGCTCTTCGCCTTTTTCGGCCGGCAGCGAGACAAGGTTAAAGCAGAAGAGCTTGTTCGCATGGCTGAAATCGTAAGTTCCCAGCAGCACGGCAGCATGCTCTCCCGGCCTAGCTAGATTAGTATAACATGTAACATAATGATGGATTTGGGGGTTGAAGGAGGTTGAGGGGGGGAGACCGAGAGGACGACGTACAGTTTCGCGAACATCTGTTTAGCTTCTTCCGGATCGTACGTCGGTTTCTGGTTCGATTTTGGACCGGGGGCGATGGATCCAAGTCCAATCATGCTTAGTGTATTTGCAATTGTCCACCCTTCAGGCAGGTCCTGTATAATATCGACGTACTGGCCTCTCAGACTTCGAGAGGTATGCCCAACACACCTGACGATCTTCTGTATGGTGGCCTCATTAACGAAGTCGTTCAACCGAAGCTGATAGGGATTTTGAAACTCGAATTTGTTGTAGTTTGCTAGCAAGCCTAACAATGTGAACGGTTCCAACGCCCTATGCGGCGAGTCTGATTCTTGGATGAACTAGATCTCGGGTCAGTCCCAGTCTCAGTGCCAGTGCCAGTGCCAGATAGTAGATATACTAGTCGGAATATCAAAGAGCGAGCATACAGACCTTCATGATAGCGGGGAACAGATCGCGTTGTATGAAGTATGTCAAGAGGCTTGTCTGATAGGCGCCTGAGGTGATGGATAAGACGACCTCAACGGCTTTCTGCCGAACCTCCACTACATCGCACTTGTCAGTCGCTCTACCACCGTAATAATCATATGCGAGCGGGCATTTTCATATCCCAACCTACTCGATTTGCCATTACGGATTATACCATCCAAAGCGCCTACAAAATCGGTGAAGACTGCATCGACCTGATCCAACCCCGCTAACACAGCTATTATATCCGAGCTCGGATTCGTATATTTCTTAGGGAGGGCAGCGGAGAAGAAAGTTGTTAAGGTCTTCGTGAGAAATAAAGAAACAATATGGTTAGAAACAGGTTCCTTATATAACACTTTCTAGAGCTAGGTTTCGGTTCATTTTTTTGTTTACCTCGAGGGCGTGCAAATCTGTCACGCCATTGCCCTTCTTCAAGCACTCTACGGCGCGAAAGAAGAGCTGTTGAGTTTGCAACTGTAAACTTATCAAGTCGTCGGGCCCAAGCCGGGCTAGGATTCTCTGCAAGGAGAGCCGGTCGGGTTTTAGAAGGAAGAGTTCGGTCCAGAAGCCGTCAGGCTTATCGGCATCCGGATCCACGTCGTCCTATTCGGGAAAGAATTGCCGGTCAGTTACCGACAAGACGGGACGACACACAATAATACAATAGCTCTAGGGCAGCTGTAGGGTAGGGGGGGGGGGGGGGGGGGGCGCTAAAGGGTGAAAACCCAAAAACACAAACACACAAACCCACTTGCGCTATTGAGCAAATAAAGGCCCACGTACAATAAGAACCAATTTGTC